TCAGTGGAGACTATTGTTCTCTACAACTATCTGAAAGGAGGTTGTAGCCAGGTGGGGATTGGTCTCTTCTTCCAGGTAAAAAAAGATATACAAGAGGAAATGGCCTCTAGTTGTTGCAGGGGAGATACAGGTCAGATATTAGGGAAAATTGCTCAATAGAAAGGGTTGTCAAGCATTGCAGAGGCTGCCCAGGGAAGTGGTAGAGTAACCACCCTTGGAGGTATTTATAAGATGTGCACATGTGGCTTTTGGGGACATGGTTTATTGGTGAACTTGACGCTGTTAGACTTATGTTTGGACTTGATGATCTTAAAGGTCTGTTCCAACCTAAGTGCTTCTGTGATTCCATACTTTACAAATATTCATTTTTCAGAGGATTGCCTGATTTGAAATTTGTATCCCAGCAGGAGTACTCAAAGGAGATCTTAAGATTTTTGAAATACTGATTCAGTTAAAATACCGATTCTTAAACTATCAGGTGTTACTGCCTACTGCTCTGAGAAGGAAGTAACTTTTCTTTTATTGATTGAAATCTGATTGGCTACAGCATTCACTAACATGGGGTACACACCAGCAGCTCTCCTGAATAAGATGTGGTGCACATGCATCAAAGAATAAGCAGACCAAATAGACTGTTAAATAGGTAAAATATGTCCTGTGGGGAAAGAATTAGCCCTATGTCAGTAAAATGCTGGTGGCCTTCATTATAAAATATTCTGTGTTAAATGAGTGATTTTTTTCATCAAAGAAACCTAAAAACCAAAATGGAAAGCTATTTACTTCACCAGCTGTCTGTTCTAAGAAATGTATTCAGCATAACTGTTTATTATAGTTCCCTTACAACACAAGATTATTGTACACCCTCTTCCTACCTGGTGTTAAGTTCCAGTATCAGTTCTATTGGGCCCTTCCATTTTTCAATGCTTATTTTTTTTATATATTATTGTTATTACTATAACCTGTAGGGTGCAGTTAGTTTTATTCTCCAGATACCTTATCTCTAGTCATTCCCCAGCCTAACCCCTCTACACAAACCTTTTTTCAGACCACTTCCCCTGAGATGTAAAAACGTTGTTTATGAAAACATCAGGGGGAGAACACAAGGTCTATCATTATATAAATAATTTCAGCTGTGACATGTTTTCAAAGGGAAGGCATATTTTCAAAGAGAAAACATATCAGTACCTGAATAGATTTTGGGGGGGGGAAAAAGATGTTTCTAATAGGAAGCTTTTAAAGCCTTAAGGCTGAGGTTGAGGGGGAAATGTTCCTGGAGCCCCATTTAGCAGCTAGTATGGAATAGGTCTGATTTCACATGCGTGAAACCTACTGTTCATTCACCATATAATCACTTTGGCTAGATGGAAAAAAATCAAGATGCAGATTCCAGCCTCACTGAACTGAATGTCACAGAGCCCTCTCTGCATGTGTGTCTTGCCTCTGTAAGCCCGGCCACTGCTTGTGCAGGCACGTCTTTTGTAGCTACAAAGTGAGACATCAGACAGAGGATGACATTTCCCTCTTACAGAAGTCTGTGCAAATGCTAAGGCCCATGGTACAGTACTTTCCAAGCAGGTGGTACAAGGATGCCAGCAGGAGCACATCCCAAAGGCATTCCTGCAGCACGGAATAACTCACTCAACCTGCTGGAGGCTTCGAAATGAAAGAGGGAGATACTCTGTTTTGGACAGCTGTTGCCAGGGATTCTTATTTTTTGGGTTTGTTCCATTCCACTTTAACCATTTATCAGCGTGGTCTGTATCATTTACATAGTTGATGGTGCTGGAAACAAAAACCCCAAGCTAAATTCTTTCAGTCATCTTAGCACCATTTTTCTGCTAAAAAAAAAGTACTCAGAGAATGATGAATTACACCTCTTTTCTTCTACCCTACCCTGCTGCTAATTTTTCAGTCTCCTTTGAGAACAGCAAGTGATTACTGTATCACTGACTTCTGGTCTTAAATTCGCAATTTCAGAGGGGTTCTGCTAGTCTCACGTTTTCTCAGCTACTGATATTTTGTATCTCTAGGTAAGCTCTGTTTACTAAATGCAATGCAATCCAGCAAAACTTTCATTATGTTGTACTGAACTAAACTTCTCCTGTCAGAAGCCTGTTTATTAATAACACTTTTCTATGAACTGCATTTAGAGCTAAGTGTTACAGCCATTTCCTGTGCAATAACAAAAATTTACTACCCTTTTTTTCTTTTCATTTGGCAGTGTTTTCTCTTCTCCAGAATCACAAAACTAGCCAGTTAAATCATGAGCCTTATATTTCCAGCTTATTACTGGTATCCTTTTGCCTGGAGGATACATAATAGCTTTAATTATGCCCATTGTTTACTAAGGAAACAGCAGCGTGACACCTAAAAAGCCCCTTTGCCTTATAGCTAAAGGACAAAGTTCATACAGTTGATGAAGGAACTCTGCATGCAGGTGTAAAACTTCAGTGCAGCTATTGCTCTGTTTTTACAGCTGTTGATCTTTCACACCACTCAAGCAGACCATGCTGTGCAGGAATTGATCTGTAGAAAATAACTGGGCACAGTGATCAGGTATCACTAACCTCATAATTCTGCAGCATTTCAGGGTAGTGCTCGTGTTTTCCTTCTACTTATTGTAGATTAGGTACAAAAGGAGTGAAATTGGTCTGGTTACTTCCAGTTGTGGCTTGGTTGTTGTTTTGTTCTTTGGGGTTTTTTTCTTCTTTTAATTTTTTTATTATTATTCCAGTTGTGTAATTTTTATTTCTAAGAAGATGAAATTCAGGCAATGACCTTAGAATATTTCACTCAGATCCTGATGAGGACACTGGAAAATTTCAGAAGGGAAACCTTTTTGAAATAATTTAATCCAAATCTTTACATAGCCCTGACGAATATTGTGATGGTGCTAAGAATGAGATATTAGCAGCTCAGTTGCCTGTTTGGTAGAGACTTTTCTCACTAAAATGGTTCATTACGTCATTTAGTGGTGGTGTTAAGGCCAAACAGAGAGTCTTCAAGTCAGCAAAGAACGTTTTCAGTAGAAATAATGGCTTTTGATAAGTCAAAGGGGACTAGAAAGAAAATCACGTATGGAACCAGATCATTTTTACATATGACAATGCATAGAAGGAAGTGAAAGTCGGGAACAGGGTTCCAAACCAGTCTGAAAGTGGTTCTGAAGGAGAGGGAGGATGGGATGGCCCAAAAGAGGTTGTGGAGGTTGCAGCCCCTACAGTCTCTTGGAGAGAATGGGCCAGCAGCTTCCCCAAATCCTGGGAGATGTCTTCCATCACTTGGGATAAAACCTGAGCTGAATCTTAGTCTAGGAATTAAAGCTGTTTCTGCAGAAGCTGAGGCTCCTTTCCACTGGCTCTAGCCATACAAAAGTCATTGCAGAGACAAGGGAGGGCGCTTTTTTTCTGTAATATATTACCAATAATAAACTGCAGTTCATAATAAAGCATAGTAGCATCTCTGGTGTAAAATATTATCAGGCAACTGAGTGCATTCTAAAATTAGACCCTAATGCTGCCAAATCTCATCTCTCTCTCTCTGGCTTTGGGATGTTATAAATGTAATTTATAAATGTTGTAATTTTCACAGAGGGAAATAGTACACAGATGTACATCATCACTCTGAAATATCCGGAACATTTAAGCATAGAGCTCCCATTAAAAACACATTTTTCAGTGAATCACAAGGAAAATGTTCTCTGAACTTACCTATCTCTTACAAAATTGAATCAAATTAATAATGTAAGTAGTTCAATTTTTATGTTATTCCTTGTCCATTTTATTTTAAAGCAAGAATTAATTTTTCTGAGTGTATCCTTAAAGAATGGAAAATATTATCATAGAAAGGGTTGAATTTACCTCCCACTTTCAACAACAAAAGGTCTGGGTTTTATGCTTTTACTTTTATTCATGCCATAATATTTTATGTGACTTTCTAAACTATGCAATCTTGAATATGGAAGCATCTCTAGCCTAAGGGTGGTGGGCTGGTAGCTGAGGTTGAAATAACACTTAAATCTTTTTCTCTTTCCATAATGCACAGTATTCATGCTTCATAAAATTGTTTGACACTTCTCCAGAAAAATGCAGCGTCCTGATGATGTGTCATGCTTCATTATGTCAGCAAGTTCTGCTCCTTAGAGTTAATCAAAAGGCCAGCGGAATTTTCTCACGTCTTTTTCTCGTGTGTTCCTCATGCAAATTTCTTTGCTGAAGGAAGGCGTTTTACAGCCCTCTGAAATTGCTTTTGTGAGCAATTCTGTAAATGACGAAGAGCATGATAAGGTAAAAACTATGGGATGCAGCAAGAAGGTGGCCTAGTTCTCCTGTTGTTTACACAGGTGCTCTGCTAATGCAATCCTGTTGTCCTTGGGGGACTTGTATCTACCTTGGGACCAGGCTGATTTTCAGTTATGCCACCAAAGGAGAAGCCTCCCAGCTGATCTCTGCAACTGTGACCCGTGTAGAAAGATTGCATGAGTGCAGTTCCAAAGCAGATGTAGTAATATGGTAGAAAAAAAGGACAAAGCAGTAGTAGACTTATGCATGTACTGGTGGAGGAATGTTATTTTATAGAAGGCCATAACAATGTATTCAAACTCCAGTGTTCTTGTTATTTTGGTGCTTTAGAACATCACAAGTTCCCAGTGAGAAGGTGGGGGTTACCTGTGTCACTGATGTTTGTGCATGTACTTTTCTTATTCTGCTTTGTATTTACAATGCATGTTTTTCCTTGAGTTAGTGCTGGAGCCAAAATCCAGCTTTAATCAGATATAAAAAAATCCAGCAATGCATTTTTTATGTGAGGAAGGTCAGCTTCTGTTCTTTTGAAAGCTGAGAGACTCTTCATTCAGCATTAATTAAACCTATCTCATCTCACAAGTCCTGTTGAACTTCTGATCTCTTTTCATTTTTTACTAAGAGGTGTGATACTTTTTCAGAAGTAATGAGGTCACCCTGCACGCTGACATCACTCTTTCTACCTTCCTCTTCCTGCAGGAACTGCCAGCAGAACTACCATTGTTGTGAGAGAGGAACTGTCCCTTTACATAGTGCCTGTGGATGCTGCATAGGTAAGGAAAAACTTTGTTTGCACCAAAAAGATGCCAGAATCATAGAATGGTTTTGGTTGGCAGGGACCTTAAAGACCATGTAGTTCCAACTCCTCTTTCATGGGCTAAACCAGGTAGTTCAGGGCCCATCCAACCTGGTCTTGAACACATCAACCTATCTCAAACTCATTTGTGTTTTCCTGTAAACCCAATGAGTGCAAATTTCCTTTTATGAAAACACTATTTATTTTAATTCTCATCTCTTTCAAATTATTTTTAATAGGAAGTCTTTTGTACATACTTTCTCTGAGCATCTGAGTTAAACCTCCAATTCTACTTGGTTAATAAGCCTAGCTGAGGCCTGATCAACCATTAGCTTAGGCTGAGACTGAAAATCTTAATAGCTACAAGTATCTGGAGAGAATTTGCCAATATCTGCAGTGTTGAAAGCTGCTCAGTCTCACAGTCTTGCCCCAAGCATTGGCCAGGAGGTGATTTTTGGAAGGCACCTTTAAGTTCCACCCAATTCAAATAATTAGGAATTATTTTTCTATCGATCTCAGAAGGACAAATGGGCTTTTCTTCTATAAGGGTAAAATACATTTTGCCTTTCCAAATAATTTTTTTAATGAAAAAACTCAGCCACATACAAAACCTCACTGAAAGTCAGAGTTTGTTATTTCTGCTTCTTCATCACTGAACTGTGAGTCTAGCATTTGTCAGTTCCCTGATGCTCCAGAACAGCAGAGGGAGCACAAAACACTTTGTTTTCTTTTAATTGCTCAGTGATGGTGGGATTAACTTAAAAATGACAATCACAAAGGTTGTTAGAACCCATAGGACTTCAGCAAGTTATGTATTTTTCTAGCTGAAAAACCAGAATTGGTAGTGACGGTATCTCTCATCTCCCAGAAAAATCACACACAACTTCCAGGTACTGCTTGTTTTCATCAGGAAATCTGTCTAATCTGTTTGTGTTGGGCTTGACTCTTATTTTTCAGCTGAACTTTAGATACCACATCCTTTCATCACTGCCCAAAGGTCCAAATAAGTGGTAAAATACTTGAGACTACGTGCAATTTTATACTTCAAAGTAGACTATCTTGGCTGATGTAATTCTGGAGCAAGTTAGCATCACAATCTTGTCAATTCAGTTTTTGTATCTTTTCTGCGTTATGCAGCTATGTGTGTGTTCTGCAGCTCTTGAAATATCTTCCAGCTTCAGTGCCTGAGGCCACAAGCATGCAGCACAGTTCTGTCTCCCAAAGAATGTCAAACATAATGAAAAAATGAACTTGCAAAAGAGCTGATTTGTTGTATGCCTTCCTGCTTGCTTCTCCTGCCTGCTCTTTTTGCTTTCCCCGGTTCTCCTAGGTTTTATTTTCTGCTTTTGGAACTGTATCCAAGGCCTCCTCAGAATGAATTGCTTTTAAAAAGCTTCCTCATAATGAGGCTTGTCACACAGATGAATGGAGCATTGCTGAACTCTCACAATGTGGCACAGGCTGACTCAACCTTTCGATGCTCGCTCTCAGAATTAGCATTCTTGTCTAACAATGGTTCTCGCCCCTTCTCTTTCTGCTGCTGAAGATTGTGACCTGATATATTCAAGAAATCACACTCACAAAAATGAATGGAAAGTACGAGGATTAAAGTGAAGGTTAACCTTATAGAATAGGAGAACTTTAGAGTCGGGCTGTCTTCCTTATCCATTGGACCTAAGAATTGTAGTTGAAGCAGAAGAGTGAGTGATCTTGCCTTCTGTGCCAAAGGTGAAGGCAGCTTTCCTCACAAGGGGCAAAGCCTGCATGCTTTAAGAGTAACTTCAATGAAGCTACTTCATGGCTGAGGCAAACGGGGTTGGGCCACTGATACAACTCTTCTGCTTTACCAAGCGGGACAGAAGCTCTCAACGTCTGTTGAACTCCTTGTGCCCCTTCAGACCTCTGAGCAGACGAATCGTGAGGGGAAAAAGGAGATGTGAGATACCTGCTTTGAACTGGTGGATGCTGGAAGAGTATAGGCTGGGCTTGAAAGCCTTTCTGCCAATTTGTCGAAGACAGGAGAAGTAATTAGAATAAAAGAGGGCAGCCTCGCTGCCTGGAGTTCTGGGAACTAAACAGTTCTCACTGGAGCTCAGACCCAAATTACTGCTGCTGAGCAGCCCTAGGGGTTGTGTCTCCTTGTGTCTGTCCCAGAGTGCAGCTATCTTACAAGTAATGCAGAGTTTTTGAGGGCAGCCTTCTTCCCAAAGGCGGCACAGTGAAGAAGAAAAAAGAGTGAACATGTATCTGAAATCCTGAATTTCTATTTTGCATAAAATCTTAAACTTGCAAAGAAGGGAACAAGAGATAACTGAAACAAAGAGAAGAGGGGAATGGAAGGGGAAAAAGAAAAGGTCATCAAGACTCCAACTCAGCATTACTACTGAAATGTCCAGTGGAATGGAAACTCAACTTCTTTTTCTTTCTTTCTTTCCTTTTTTTTTTCTTTTTTTTTTTTTGGAATAATCACAGTGACTTCTTATTTAAACCTTTAGAAATTATGTGTGACTCTCCATGCTGATCTGATAAACTTGCATTTACACTTTCAGCCAGTTATGAGTGCTGGAAGATCCTAGTAGTCCCAGCTCAACTGAGTCTCTGATGTGTTGGGTGGTAGGCAGATATCCTCTGTGATCAGAGTGTAAAATCTGATGGCTACACAAATTCTTTTCATGTCTTGGCTTCTTCTGCTTAATATTTTGCAAAAGAGAACAGTCTAGAAGCATTGTGTATGGCAGACAACAGCACATTTCTTCCATTAAATCTTAATCCCAGTTTGCACTGGTGACCTTGTGCAATCTTTGAAAACCTCCACTGCTTCACTGATTAAGCTGATGGACTGACAATTTTCTGCTTTCTATGCAAAAAATGCATAACACCTTGCTTGATTACAGATACAATTGCACAGAATTATTAGCATTATGGAGTAGAAATTATGAAAGTGCAATTTATGATCATCTGGCTCCCAGACAATTGTTCTTTACAAAAGCAAGAGAATATTTTGGGGGAAAAAATAAATTGGAGGAGCAGGGTAGCTGATGATCTCATATTCAATTCCACTTTAGGCAGAAATAAAGCATATAAAATTTAGCCCAGAATGATTAACATTCCTGGGGTTATAAACTAACTGAAAACCAAATGCTATGAAGGAAATTATTAGACAACCTTAATTAAAAACATCACTACCAGCTCTCCACATAATAAATGCACTTGATCTGAGTAAAAGAAAATGAAGTTAATGGTGAATAAACATTTGAAATAAAAGGAAAATTTTACAACTTAGTCCTGGGGGGAGACTTTTCTCCCTCCCCTCCCCATAGTCCCTGCAGCCGCATTTCAGCCAGTGGTAGTGGATAATCATAAAACTACTTAATTTGGGAAGGACGTACACACCCACCCTGTCACAAAGAGGAAAAAATAGAGCAGAAATACCAATTATCCCTAAGTTAGATGAGGAAGGAGAAGGACAAGTGGCAGAAAGGCTGGACTCCCTGCCAGCTGGAGGAAGGCAGATGAGGGGCCAGGCAGGGCAGGGAGCTGACCTGACACCCCTGTTTGGGAGTGAGCCAAGCCTGGCTGCAGCGGTGAGCAGGACCCTGATGGGGAGCACTGGACAGGTTCAGCCTTAGAGAGGTCCAGGCTGGCTAAAGCAGAGGTCAGGCTGAACAAATTTGATTAACTTCTCCTCGGAAGGGACAATGACAGCTGACAGGAGTGCCACAGCAGACGTACTCTCCTTGGATTTCAAGAAGGCTTTTGCCGTGTCACGGCTTCAAAGGCTGGTTTTAAAAACTGGTGTTGCTGGCAAGATTTTACTAGTTATATCAGCACCAGAGCAAAGGAGAAAGGTTGAAAGCTCATTTAGCTTTCATGCTGTTCACCTTGGCAGCGACCCTTTAAAATAAAAAATAGTTTTAAAATAGACTTTACACTACTTGCAGCTGTAAGTACTGTCTATACTTATACAAGCAAAGGAGGCTGACTTCAGTCAGAAAGATGAGCTTGATAGCTTTAATTAATTCTTAATAAAAGAAAAATAAAACAGATGAAAGAAGCCAGCTCAAGAATTCAGTAGTAAGCCAAGAATTTAATACTTATGGTCTGAGTCTTGTAAGCACAAGCATCAGAATAAATTTATTTCCATGTGTGAAAATCAATGGTCTTTGTCATTGTAATTAAAACCGTACTTGAAAGTATAACTATTTTCATTGGGGGATGTTTTGCCTGCTTGTTTCAGCAAAAGTTATCCCACCACTGGCAGTTTCAGGCTGCACATAAGTTATCAAAGCACAATGGCATTACTTGTTTTCTTGTCGAGGTGTTGGCTGTCCAAGCACATCCCACATCAGGACAGCATCTTGCAGCTGCTTTCATAGAATCATCAAATCATAAAAACATCTCTGGGAAGGGACTACTGAAGGTCTTTTAGTCACACCCCAGCACAAAGCAGGACTGTAGCCACTGCGGGATCAGGTCAGCTCTGTCTAGATCTAGCTGGGCTGTGAAAAGCTAATTTGCAGATTTTACATTCTCTCCATGCAATGTGCTCCAGTGCTGTACTACCTACCCAGTTTTGCTGTTGTTTCTCTGGTTTCCTTTTTTTTTTCTCTTTTTCAATGTTTACCTATAGTGCTTGATGAAGAGGGATCCCTGGGCACTAAATCAGAGAGGGGAAACCTTTATAAAATCTAGACCCATTGTTTTCTAACTCAGAAGTGTGTTAAGGCTGGATTGTCAGCACTGAGTAGAATTTGTTGCCTTTTGTTGACTTCATCCATCCTAATATTGTTGAGGGTTTTTTTTGGTTTGTTTTGTGTTCTTTTTTGCTACTTAATTATTACAGTGCATTGTCTTGGGTCTATTTGAGGCTGAAAAACAAGACTTTAATGATAAAATACAGAAAAAAAGACAGGCTACTCTTGTCACTGTCAGCAAATAAATAGCATTAATCTGTCTTCATTACTGCCATGCATGGTGTAACACAAGAGTCCACCAGGTGGGAAGAGGTATAATATCTTTTAGCCACTCTGAGCGCTAAGAATTAAGCTGAAACTTAAACTGAAAATTTTCCTTTGATCAGCAAAGAATCGTGACAGTCATTTTGTCTTCAGAAGCTCTTTGACATCTTTCCATTAGGATACTGAGAGTGACCAGAATGGTCTGACCTGACCTGTCATCACCAGTCCTTGATGGGAGGGAGGTTCCTCACTACCATTTGTGCCTTTGGGAACTCTGCCTTGTCTGTGCTCTGTAGTGGGATGCTGATTCCAGCTGGAGTTATATCTCTTCCCTGGTATATCATATAGAAAGATGAAGTTTTAATTAGCACGTAGTTATGTTTTAGAGTGCTTCAGAACATGTCATATCCTTAAAGGCTTTCAGCAAATGGATGTTCAGTTCCCCCCTCCCCACCTCAAAAATAAGTTATCCCAGCAATCTGTGCTAAGTGTTTTGAAAATAAGGGTTGAACACACACAACTAGATTATGTGGCAGTGTAAATCAGAACTGTGCAATTGACTTCAGTGATTTACATTATCTGAAGATCTGGACTATTAATTATTGGAAGCCTACCTTTTTAAAAGCAGTTTTTTAGTCACTGTGACATCTAGCCATCTGGCTTCAGTTTCCCTTGGTATGCACTTTCAGGCATGAATACTGGGAAGCTTTTTTAAATATGCAGATTACCCAGGCAGTGTGTGCAGGAGGTGGTGATAGACACAGCTTTGTTTGCACAGCTTTTTTCTTTGCAAAGTTGTCTTGGTTAAACTTTGTATACCAGTCAGTAATGGATTTGATTCGCTGGTCTCTTTACTATGGCTTTTTACTACTGTTGAAGATTTTACCTGATGAGATTAGGAAAAGAAATGTCCTGGCTAATTTGAATATCTGCCACAGTAACCAGTTTCACTGTGATGGCAGAAGGAGAGATTATTTAGATAGCACCTGTGTACTTGGCGACTTTTGGTAGTCTATTGCTCTGACACATCTCTGTACAACATAAGTCTGATCTGTTTTGGGAAGAATAATGGATATTGAAGCAGTATCCATATAGAAAATATCCTAATATTTCTTAATGCTTAATGATGTCACCACTCATGTTGATAAAGTCTGAAGGCAACTCATTTAACTTGATTAGGAATTGAGGGATGATTTGCATATACCACTAACTGAAAAAAAACAAAAACAAAAAAAAAGATATCTGCAAAGCTTTTTTGACAACCTCAGTTTTGTATAGTCTGTGACATCTCAGTTAGACTCAGCTATTTCATCAAAGGTAATGATTTATGGTTAAACAGTTAAGTTTGAGTTCCTTAAGACCTTACCTAGTAAATGCATTTCCTGTTGTCACTGTAATTTTTCTCTCATGCCAGTTTAAAGCAGTTATTGAGTTTCAGTAGCTTAGACTCTTATACATGTTACTAATTCAGCAAGAGAGATGTATGTCTGTATGGAGAAAAATACCCCAGATGTTGTTAAGACCCTCTTCATCCCAAAACCTCTGGCAGCATTGAGAAATCTCTGGTGTTGATGTGTGCAGCTGAATTTCCCAACTCAGCATGTGCATCTAACAAAACCCATCATCAGCCAATTGGAAGTCTGATTTTCAAGGACCATTGAACACCAAACATTTCTAGGGAGCTGCAATTACAGAAACAATTGTGTTAAATAACTTTGGACTGATGGTGTGTGAACATTAGCCCTCCCAACTTTCCTTTTCTTATTTTGGTTGGAATCTGACAGTGGACAGGGTTATGTTAGGAATACTTTAGGGAGTGTTGATATGCTTCAGAAATTCTGGTATTTCTTCATCTATCTGTGATTTATGCATGTGTTTTATGAGTCCATAGGCTGAACAGTGTCATATTTGCAGTTGTGTTTGATGTTGGGAAGAAAAGGGCAGGGTATGTTTTACTGAAGGTGAAGCATCTTAAACTCCCCTCACATAATTCCAATTCCACTTTCAGTCATAGCAGTGTAAGTCAGGAGGTGCAGCATATTTCACATTTCTGTAGTGCTGGACATATGTCAAATATATGAGGCAGTTTACCTAGGACAAGTAACAGGCTGTATCAGAAAATCCACCTTTTTTACTAACCCTGTGAATTGTTCATTTTACATTTTTAGTTGGTATAGTGGAAAGTGTTAACATTTATATTACAGTGAGACCAAAGGGTTCAACTCCCCCTTAGGTGTCCTACAAAGCATGTGAACAGCATTAAGTTTTTGGTCTGAGACTGGTCAATTGATACTGATGCCCAGGCAAGGGTTGTGCACTCATGTGCCGTGCTGACCACCAACATCACCAGAGTGCTCGGGGTCACTGCACCTCTTTATTCAGAGTATCAACACAGGCTGGGAGAGGAGCAGATCAAGAGCAGCCACAGGAAAGGACCTGGGGGTGCTGGTGGGTGAGAGGCTGGACATGACCTGGCCATGTGCACTGGGAGCCCAGAAACCCCCCGTGTCCTGGGCTGCATCCAAAGCAGTGTGGGCAGCAGGGGAGGGAGGGGATTCTGCCCCTCTGCTCTGCTCTGGTGAGACCCCACCTGCAGTGCTGCCTCCAGCTCTGGGGTCCCAGCACAGGAAGGACATGGACCTGTGCAAGCAAGTCCACAGTAGGCCACCAAGATGATCAGAGGGCTGGAGCACCTCTCCTGTGAGGAAAGGCTGAGAGAACTGAGATTGTTCAGCCTGGACAAGAGAAGGCTTCGGGGTGACCTAATTGAGGCCTTTTCAGTACCCGAAGGGAGCCTACAAGAATAATGGAGAGAGACTTTTTACAAGGTCATGTAGCAACAGGACAAGGGGGAAAGGTTTCAAACCGAAAGAGGGTAGGTTAAGATTGGATGTAAGGAAGAAATTTCTTACTGTGAGAGTGGTGATGCACTGGAACAGGTTGCCCAGAGGAGATGCCATGCTTACAGGTAACCCATCCCAGTTGTCTACCCCAGTGAAAATACAATGCAAACATTGCCTGACCTCTGGAGGCAGGCAAATGATCCCTGGTTTAAAACTGCAAACTGGCGACCTGCAGTGAGCACAGAAGAGACTTGGAATATTTGCTATGTAATATGAATATTGCCACATAAACATAAGGTAATCCAGCAACTTTAACAGGTACTTCTCCAATCCCACTCAAGCACAGTGGAAATGCAGACTAAATTGTGCAAACCAAACCTCCACAAAATGATACATAAATGTTGATGTATTGTGACAAGGTAGTTAACAAAGTGGAAGGATGAACACCTGTCTCCTGCATATGGATTGGCAGGTACAGTGAAGACTTGGAGTACATGAAGGCTTATGGAGAAGCTTGCAGAATACTGACAGCATAAAACCTCTCCCCAGCCTTATTTCTAAAACTGGGCTTTTTCCCACTGTTATTCTGGAAGGATGAACTGATTCAGGAGGACAAGGCAGTTTCTGGCATGCCTATCTGGCAGCAGAGAGTATTTCTATTCTGATCACAGAATGGAAATGATTATGATTTAAAGGTAATATTTCTAGAAGTCAGGATTGGAAGACCCAGAGGGAAAACAGTGAAGGAATGCAAAAAGTGAGGCTGTCATTCTAATAAGAAATATTTAGTTAATAAATAAATATATTACATTTGGATATGTTGCATGGTAAATTATTACCTAAAACCAACAGGTGATAAAGAGGTGTTCTGTGTTGTTTTATTTTATTTTTCCACCTCTGATACTGTAGAAAGAAATGCTTATGTTTATTAAAATTAAAAAAAAAAAAAAAAGAAAAGAGAGGGGGAGAGAGATTTTAAGAAATTGCTCGCTAATTTGTTTGGAATTATATCCAGATATTTCAGTTGAAAACAGAAAACAACTTCTTCCCTTTTTGACAATGTTAATATTAATTCTACCTTTCATATGTGCATATAGTAGAAGCAAACTCCTGGTGAGTCAAAGATTACATGAAGCCATTGAGGGAAGAGATAGGAGACTTAAAAAAATGGTAGTTCACTTTGTTGGGCTGAATTTTTGTTCTCATTCTTGAGTGCTATTACGTCCTTTAAAAAACTCATATGAGAAAGATTTGAAATTAGAGAACTTCTAAACTCAGAACAAATAGTAGTGTCTACAAGTACTGAATAGATAATAAATTTATGCCCTTTGTCACACTTTTGCTGACCCTCTTCTCTTGAGTTCTCAGGTGCAACATGAGCGAGGGGAGGAGATTTTCTTAGCAATATGAACACTGGAAAATTCTCCCTGGCAATATCAGCACTTCTGCCTTAGTTCATCTTCAGCTCATGGTAGAACAACAGCAAGGTGAGCCTGGGGGAAAGCCTCCTACTTCTGATCACTACAAATAAGATTTCAAAAGTTTGCTGTTCTTAAAGGCATGGGATCAAAGCAGTTGAGTGGTGCTGGTAAATAAAACGAAAACTTTTCTAAATGTAAGTAGCCTAGGCTGTGAAATGCAACAGCCATTTAAAGCCTTCCTTTCCTCTCCCCATATACAGAATGAGAGCCATGCATGGCCAAACTGAGCTGCATGTGACTGCACAGGATTTCCACTGCTGTGCTAGAGGTCAAGCCACATGCATTTTGCTTTCCAGAGTACAACCATCCCTGATTCTGAGTGATAATGGATGCCTGTGAAGAACAATGGAAATTTAAACAGTACAAACCTATTTGTTTTCAAGTAGGTCATAGATGAGTTTTTTGGTTTGGGTTTGTTTGGGTTTTTTTCATGGTAAAAGAGCACAGGAATACGGACCATCTAGGTGCTAGTTGCTATGGTAACCATAAAATCACATCCTCCAAAACCTTTCTATTTAATTATATACATCACTGACATTATATACATAATTTAATTTTTTTTTTCCTTCAAAACTCTAGATTGAAATGGGAAAAAAGCCCTGTTCATCGCAGTTTAACCTCTTCTTTTGTCACCGATATTTTGGGAAAATAATTTTTTTCCTTTTTACAGGCATTTTTAGCTGATGTTCCATCCAGTTTTATTGATATCATAAATTATTATACTGGGCTGTAGTGCTACACAGTTAAGGGTTAGAGGTTTGTCATTGTTTCTGTGTATTTATAGCCTAATTCTCCAGACTTCTCCTCCTTGATATACATGATTTGTTCCCAACCTGCATTTTATTGGGGTTGTATTTCATCTTTGGAAATACCTGCATTGTGCTGAAATCCATATCTACTTGAGGACTACAGGAAAAACACCACCTGTATACAGAAAACTATATATATTGCCATTGGAAACAAAGTCAAGAGACTAAAATCAAAACTGAGATTGTACAATGGCTCAGATGCACTTTCTGAGCAACTTCTGTGCACCTGGTTGAATAGGCAGTAACAACCAGACCAACCTGTCCCAGGTAATTCAGATACTTCTTCTGTTCCTAAGTTACCCTCTTTATAAAACAGCAATAACTACAGCTAATTTTGATATCTAGGGAAAGAAAGAAAAAAATAACTTATTTAATTTCCCTACTTTTATAGATTTTATGACATATTCTTTTTACCTTAGTAGAGGAGATACATGTGTCACTATCTTGTATACAAAAATCATAGTTCTCTTGCTTTTTTATACAATATATGTAATATGTAAATTTAATTTTTTCTTTTTCCTTTTTAAATAATTTTCCTTAAAATATGTTGATTAAAAAAGGTAATGAGGACTGATCTCTGTATAGATGTTATATATTCATGTTCAATTCATATAATTATTTGTTTATTTTTCTGATATTGCATTACCACACCTTAACAAAGTGAACCTTTTCATGTAAATATGAATATTTTCATTTAAAAAAAGAAAATCCTGGTTCCCCCCCCAAATTTGTTGCGTGAAGTCAAACTGCACATACTTTTGGAGCTTTTCCAGGTAAGAGGTCACATCCTAATAATTGTGTTTATTAGCTACAGTAGTATCACAGTTGCAATAAAAATTGCACCTTGCAAATAATTTATTACTGTTTTGATAAGTAAGTAATAGAATTGGAAGGTGTGTTATTTTGGTTCAAACAGGTAATCTCTCTGAAATCAAGATACAGAATCCCAAAATAGCAGACACTTTTAGCCAGGTAATTAATAAGTACAGTGTTTGAGCTTCACAGAGTGACTTCCACCTAACCTGAATGCTAACTTTAATTCATAATATTTTTTGTATTGGACAAAATAATTCAGTATAAACATAAGGAAAAAAATTCAGGTCAGGAAGTTTAATGCTACAGTGTTACTGATGTAACAAGAGAACATTATCAAAGTTAGTGCCAGTGAGTTTATTTTTTGCCAGAAATTAGCTGGTTGCTGTGATTAACTGTTCTGCTTTCTAGTCACAAAGCAAATTTGAATCAAAAATAATAAGTGCTCAGAAATATATGTTTGTACAACTGGGTAAGCATTTTATGAGTTTATGAATTTGTGACAGACAGATGGAAGGTTCTAAATAATTCTCAGCCCAGCATCATGCTTTGAGCTGCAGATGCCAATAACAGCAACTGCATTCTATTGTGAGGTTGGGACAATCCTGAATTTTTTTTCATTATTGTTCTGCTTCCAAACCAGGGGATTCTTGGATAATTTGGGAAGGTGCCTTCTCTGTGTGTATGGACTTACATATTACTTTTATCTCCTGAAACAGCTCAACATCTTGGTGGAGAGGTATCTTCTCACCTTCTTGAAACACCTGAGGAATGCACTGGGGTATTTATTGTGCATCCTGCAAGTGCTGCCAGTTTGCTGCAGCCAAGTTACAGAGTAAGTTGCATTTATTCTCAGCTGTTTGCTGCCCTTAACATCTTCTAACATGGAAAATAAGAACATATCATACACAAACAGGGATTTTATTGTTACACTAATCAAAGTCTTAACAGATTTATTAAGGAATAGCCATTAGTCCATTTACAATTGTATTGACACTTTTGATTCAATTATATTCAAATTATGTGCAGTTGAGATTGGTACACATAAAGAGTCAAGCATCTCCATGGGTCTTTGGTGTTGCTGTCATACTTCCACTGTGTTTCTAGGTCATAAGGTTCAGGCATTGGTTCAGGGCAGGAGTAAAGGACTAAAACCAGTCATCAGCAGAATAGTTCTTTTTTGAGAGAACTTCGATGCCAATGTATGTTTCCTTCCTCCTCACTTTTGGGTCTGTCTGGAGTAATTTTATATGTTCTATAATATGACCTATGCTCTGCTGCTGCTTCTTCACTGGCTCACATTTCCACATTACTGTGTGTAGCATATTTAGCTTGTGTTAGAGACCTGGTCATTATTCTCTTTGTTATCCTCAAAGCTATCTTTACCCTGCTCACATGGTTGCATTCCTTTAATGACCATTAAGTGATCATTGGTGACATGTTTATAGCCCTGTGGCCCCTGGTGTCATCCTGTGCCCATAGTTTCAACACCCCTCTATTACCCCATGCTCTCATTCCTCTACTCTTTGCTTTATTGTAGAGTGACAAATAGCTCATTCTGCACTGAGTATCTGCTTGCTGTCATCCCATACAGTTGTTCACAAGCTAGAACAAAGTAGGTAATAGCCATCAGATTATTAGAGAATTGTTGTTACCACTAAACAAGACTAAATATGGCTCCAGTTAGGCCAAAAAGAAGTCCAGACAGAGCCTGATAGGTGTCAAATTCTGTGTTATTACCTTGGCACAAAGCCTGTCACAAACACCACCACACACTGTAGGCTAAAAGCCTACAGAAGGTCATAGTCCCAAAGCCCTGGCTTTAAGGATCCATGCAAGTTTGAGTGAAGTACCTCCCTGCTGGTTAGCAGTGAAACATCTATAATACAGAACACAGAACCAAATATCCTGTTTACTTATGGTTTTGCAGTGGTGGAACAGAGTTATAAAAAACAGAATAACAAAGGACATTGTTCTGGCCATACTCAGATCTTAAACACTCCAGTTTCTCAGGCTCCTTTGTTAGTTTGTGTTAGCTCTCCCCAGGCTGGCACACTAGAGAGAGCTCTTAGATCTCAGTGTTTTCTCCTTGAACTACTAATGTTGGTTAGAGAAGCCAATTGGAGCAGTTTCTTCTTTGGCCCACAATCAAAGGACCTGGTTTTTTTCTCTCTTGTTTACCTACTCATCATTTTCCAGTGTGAGAGCACTGAGACATGATATGCTGCCAAGAGGATTATGTAATCACTTTCCCCCATCCTCCCTAAGTTTACTTGATTAACATTTTTATTGCATATCTTAATTAGTAGATTCCTAGCTTTGGGCCTCAGGCTGCTTTCCTCTCCTTGCAGCCTCCTTTGAATGCATTGACTTAATTTTAAAAATTCTCATTAAAAATGAGAAATTTTAATGGTTTTAAATATTTGGTTTGTTACAACTTTGTATATAGAGTACCATAATAACACATTAAAAATTACTTGAGAATTTGCTTCTGAGAATGAACATTCTTCCTCTACATTCCAGTAGACTTCAGGAAACTCAGTTACATGGTCAAAAATAAAAATAAAACTTGAATATCCTTGATGTGAGGGATTTAGAAACAGCTTTTGTCGTTGGAAAAATATGGAGACATATACTTGCAAATATAAAGGGAAACAGAGGGAAATACTGATCCCTTTCTAGCTCAGGAGTTGTAAATGTAGACATTTCTCTGTGTGGGTCACTTGAGGAATCGATCTGCAAAGCAGTGTCAAGCCAATTCCAAATCTGTAGAAAGCAAGCTGGAGTGAATGTGGTCTCTTTTTTTAGCCAATAGTTCACAGATTATAGATCTTACCTGTAAATTATTTTTGCAGTTACTCAAGCACATTTTTCTACAGTGCATGGTGTTTGTTGGTCACCACATTGCACCATATTCTTATTCAGGGCTTTTGTGATCTGTCTTGTTGAATCCTTTGTACATTTTAAAAACCAATTATCTTTGATGGGGCAGGGACTTGAATCCTACCCTGACAACAGTGCTATCAGTATGTTGGTTGTCATTCTTGCATTGTCTCTTTGTTTGTCCCTCAAATATTTCAGGATTTGGAGGACAAGGGAACAGTTTACAAAGAATGCTTCAGGATATTTGAGGTGACTGGAGTTAAGTTGGCCCTTGGCACCTGGTGGGTCCTGGACACTCTGCCCTTGGTGAGATTCCTCATGATAGGGACAGGAATGTCCTTCATACCCAAATGAATTCCATCAGGTATCAGGTTGCTTACAAGTCGTCCAGTGTAATGCTGTTCTTATGGATCAACCCTACTGCTACCAGCAGCTTGTTAATGCAATGAACAGACGTGTTTCCTGTTTT